TGGGTTTTGGATCCCAAACATCCAAGGGACGAACCCTAGAGAGAGAGAACGACTTGGGAACATTCTTGGAGCTATTTTGGAGGATTTCTTCGCCATTGGAGCTCGGGAATCAAGCTTGGAGATGGAGATTGAAGATCTAGATCAGATTTCTGCAGTCTCTCTCTTCTCTATGGAGTAACTTCCCTTCACTTAGGTTTTGAGGAACCCTAGCTATGTTTGTTTGATTGGATGATTGTATGAGTACTCTGACTTGATAATCTTGAGTTCATATTCAATCTATGCATGTTTTCATGATTCAATTCTGCTTTAGTCGAGATTATTGATTCTGCTTTGATCCTATGAGAGCGAATACCTGATTAGGTCAATAGAGCACCATAGATTGATAGTAGTGGATCGATTGCTTTAGTCGAGGGTTGATTCACTGCTTTGTATCAATTGAGGACCTCATTCGATAGAGGGAATCTAGTTCAGAACGCCTTGATCGGTTGTTCTAGAGAAGGATACGTCCCTCTAGGCAATTGACTTAAGAGGGCCTTGTTCCTTTAGTCGAGACTCAAGGTCTAGTCAAGGATTCTCCGCATTGTGAATGAAAGTGAAACATGTTAGAGATCATCAATTGTTAATCTGGCTAGTGGCTAGGGGGAATCATACCTAAGTGAGTTCCCAACCTGTAATTAGATTAACTTTAACTGTAGTTTGTTAGAGTAGTTTTAGATCTTTCATCTTAATCTGGTTTGGTAGATAATGAACTGAAGCTGAGTAATAGTAACTCTAGAGACCCGTGGATTCGATATTTATTACTTGAGCCACTATACTGCAGTCCCTTTCATTGGTTACACTTGGCCTTTGTTAGGAGTTGTGTTTTAGCGAGTCAGCGGGCAATCATGTGGTGTACCAACACCCTGGACCATAAAGGTCTCTCTCTTCCCATATCAAGAAGCATACACCCTCCAACCACACTTTTGGGCACATACAACCTCTTTTTTCTTCTCACTACTACGTACCCATCGTATATCAGCACCAATTTCGATGGAATGTCTTGTAATGGCATCTTTAAACTGCTGAGGACTAACAAACCTCATATGGGTAGAGATCGACAATGTCTTATTATCGCAATTGGGATCATAAAAATGACACTTGTCGATCATGGAGCCTTCATCTTCCTCGCCAATGTTGCCACGGACATGATCTGAGTTCTCAGACCACCGATAGACTGTTGCTTCAGATCCTTGAGCTTCATCATCACCCATACCACCACTATGCTAAACCTCCTCTTCTTGTCCCTTGGCGGCCTCTTCATCCACATTCACACTAGGTTGAACAGGCTCGCTCACCTCATCGTGGTCTACAAACAACTGATCAACTTCTTCTCCAGATTTAGTCTCCCCAAGCCTAGACCACTGTAGCATGTGACAATAACGGGCCCGAATTTCATGGTATTCCTCATCCGACGTTTGAGCCTCTTCTTCCTCTAACCAGACGAACTCGGCTACGACCGAGTTGTCACCCTCCTCATCTTCAACCTCCTCGCTATACCCATAGTTGTCTCCCATCTCATGAATGAACTTAGTTGCTTCAAAAAACAAGTACACCTCTCCTTGCTCGGCATCCACAAGTAGGCCATTAATCACGTCGGCATCAGTGCGTATCTCGTGGAGCCCATGTTCCATACTTTTGTCCCGGAGTCAAATACCACACCCTCTCCACCGATGAGTACTCCAAATCCTCAATCAATGTACTCACCATCTCAAAATATGATATGCGATCAACAAGCAACTGAACTCAGTCGACATTCCCGCCAACATATTTTCGTACCTCAGTAGCTGTATCCATCATTCCCCCATGATGAAAAACCAATTCAATACTCATCCTGCGAAAGCCAGGCAAAAAAAGGGTCATCTAGTATTCTAAAACTCTTCTTTTTTGGCCGCATGTGTCTAGACGAAACACAAACACATACAAACAAACAAGCAGTTGTTGTAACGCCCTAACCCGGCCGGGTACTACTATTACCAAAATGCCCTTGATAAACCGTTAACCAAAATAAGTACCAAACAGACTGGGAAAATTAGCGGGAACTTATTTAAATATCCATAATAAATACGTTGAAATTCAAATAACAATTCCTTGAAATTAGCATAAAAGCAAATCATAAACATCTTTAATAAATGAGCATCAAGTCTCGAACCCTACTAATACACGAGATTAGAAACTTCGTACTGGAGTCCTCTAGGGCCAATGATCCTTGCCACGAACTGCGAACTTCTAGCATGCTCTGGAGCTTCTACAATTCCTGAATGCGGGCGATGGGGTCAGTCCTAGTCCTAATTTCGTTATGATATATAAACATACAACCATGAACATGAAACGCTTTAAGTACATTATTGGGTGTATTATTAGGAGTCCTTGAACTTATGAATCTTGTTTACTTTATAAGTGTCCTGCGTATTTTATCTTAAAATGGGGCCTCATCCTCCACTTAGTTAGCGCAACCGTCCGGTAAAACTTGTCATAACATATCTTAACATGACTACCCTCACAATGGGGAGCATAAACGTTTAAACTGTGCAGATCTGAGGAAAAACACCCACGGGATCCTGCGCCTATCTGAGGCGAAACACACACAATGGGGATCCTGCGCCTATCTAAGGCAAAAACACCCACGCAATGGGGATCCTGTACCACGTGCGTAGCTATCTAAGCGAGGTTAAACGTGCTCTTACTTATTCGTACCTATTAACTTGATAGTTCTTAAACTTGGTTATCTTAATCTCTCACTCCTGAGGAGATGTAATTAACTCATACTCGCTTGCATACTTGAAAATTTTGGTGATCTCCCACAAAATGGGAAGACCCAACTTATTAACTTGCACAAGTCAGCTTAGACTTGAATACCTTGAAACTTAGTTTGCTGATGCTTCATGATGCTATACACACTTAAAGTAATGACTGAACGTAAATGGCTTAGCTAAACATGAAAGCGTATAAGGAATAACTAAAACATAAGGCATGAACTGAAATGTGTAACATAAACGTAAATGCACAAACTGATAACGAAAACTACTCTAGCCCCCTTTAACCACGCACCTTACTATGTACGTAACTAAGAGTCCTCATTCATACATCTGATCGGTTGGCTCGTGATCCTCCATAAAACAGGGACGGAGCTAGCGTGTAAGCAGGGGGGGCCATGGCCCCCCTAAAATATAAAAATATGACTTTGAATCTCTAGTGAAACAAACAAGCTGTGGTCTAGTGGTCTGTAACTTAGCTTCTAGTGGTCTGTAAAAGCCATCGTCTTGACCTCATCAGACTCATCCATATGTCCTATAGTTAGTTAAGGAAAAACCACCAATCTTCCATTATTGATTTCCTTGACCGCCATTACTAATCGCCACCCATCAACATATATAACACTACAGTTGCATCTTTATACTTGAACTAAACATTCCCCTAATACATCTTCTAACTCACTTATCATAAGCATGCAACCTGTACGTATTAATTACTTGATGAAATTCCTTATGCTTTTGCCTCCTGCCACCATTCACATCGAAGAACTAAATAAACCATGTTGACTAATTAAGGACCCACCGAGCTGCCAAATCCTTCTCCATCCAAGTAAAGTGTGAACGAGGGATAATTCGCTTACCTCCGGTCTAAGTCCCCGCCGTTGCAGTAGCCAAATCAATTAAGATCCATCGCTTTCGTATCATCTCAAACTACAGCTTCGTTGTCGCTCTAGCTCCCCAAACCTTGCTGTCTACGGTGCTCAACGGAGCTAAAGGTGGTGCGACCGGCTAGCTGCGTCAGGTCGAAGGGGAAACGACAGCTGGGGAATGGCGAGCCGAACAGGAGTGATGGGGGTGGTGTTTTATGTGGAGAAGTAATCGAGATCGCTTGCCCGGTTGCTGCTCCATTCTGTATGTGTATATACATATATGTCTGCGCATGTGACTAGGAGAGCTCGGTTTAGGGTTTGCTTAGGGTTATTAGATTACTCATCACTAATGAAGGGTAATTTAGGAATTTTGTAAAATATTATGGAACCGGGTGTTACAATGGTTTATTCATTCTTAGAATTCCTAAACAGAAAAAACAAACAAAAAGGGACATTGTTTATGTACCCTTCCACTTTCCCAAATTCGATTCAAACCCATAAAGTGCAGAAACAGACATTGACAATGTTACCTGCTTCAGCTGAAAAGTTAATGTCGTATATGTGGTGGCCCCTTGCTCAGTTGGTCCCACAAGAAAAAGACAGAATGGAGGACTTCCGTTTATCGCCCTCGGAAAACAGGGAAGGGATGGTTGATCAGCGGAGACGAAACAAAACGCACAACCTTGTAGATAAGATGATCGTGCCGGCAAACAAGAGAAAAGAAACGCGGCGCGGCCAGAAAAGTGTCGGCCGGCCGTGCACTCGATTCTGATCGTCGGTGTCTCGATTGAGCTGGATGAGGAGGCGATGATGAAGGGAAAGTAAGGGGATAAGGACGGAAGGTCAAGGATCGAGCCGGCGAAGAGAAGAATCGAGTGTCATGCACTCCGATTTGGGTCGGATTTTGTTTTCTGAGGAGATTGGGGAAGGGGATGCGAAGGGTGGGGTTTCGCAGGGAGGAAGCAGGTCAAAGGAAAGGGAAAGGGTAAATGTGTGCTGGACTGTCTCCCTTTCCCTTTTTGTTTTGTTAATTTTTTTTTAAAAACTTAATGAAGTGGAAATGTTCATAAAAAAGGAAATATTAGTGAATAATGTGGACAAGCTGCGTCACTGTCGAATGCTGAGTTAGCGACGGAGAAAATTGTTGACCGTCAAATTTGATAGTCCACCCGTCCCACAAGCCACATTTGTCTGATAATTTCAAAAATGGGTAAGAAATGTCTTATTTGAAAAATAGGGCTAGAACTGTCACTAACGCTATACTTCGTGCCAAACGCGGGTATTAACCCTTAAAAATTATTGTATTTTGTGAATTTTTTTTAGTAAGCAGTGTAGTTAGGTAAAAAAATCCGTCAGTAAGTAGTGATTCTGCTGCAACTATTACGACGACGATAACAAGAAAGAGGTCGGGCGCACATATACTCAGCTCTCCTCCCATTTCCAATCATGCCCGCCATTCTTGTACCCCGGCGCTGTTGCAGTCCAGTTTCCGAAAACCAAAAGAAACACCAGAGATAGCGCGGAGACGAGGAAAAAGATCGATCACGGCACCTCCGAAGTTCCATCTCGAGAAGACCTATAAGCTGTTTCGCCAGCTGAATTCTAGGATCGCCCTACGAAACAGCCGTCATAAGGTTCATTACCAGTTTGGCGATCCCCTCCCTTTCTAGTCATAATGAGTTTTCAATGAAGTGGTATTTAGGCTAATGGATTGTTACATTACATACATTTTGCTCGCTCCCAGTTGACCAAAATATTACTAGTGCCTCCTATGCGTATCACCAAGGCTGAATAGTTCAATTCGTATCAATTACTGTTTTGGCAATGATTATTCTTGGGTAATGCTTTGAAGGGTTGGTTTGTTCAGTTCTGATCCTAGCTTTAGATTTACCATCTTTCCGTTGCAGGGGTATATTAGCTTCGAGTCTTGCCAAGTTAAAAAAAAAAAAATCTGTATTCTCGGAAACGGGGAAATAATGTATTGCAAGCTTGGTACTTGTTGAATGAACTGATCCTTTATGGTATATGACCTTGGATATCCACAAGGCATGTTATTGAGAGTGTAGATTGTCGATGCTTTATGCTGAAAAGGAAATCATTTTCTACATCTCTATCCTCATTGGTTTTAGAGAGATATCTCCAGTTTTGATAAGTTGGGATTCAGTCAATTGGTATAGCAGATAGTACTCTTTCATTGGAGCCATAGAGTTCCACATTCTTAGTGAGTGTTTCCCCCTGATATATGGTTTGTGAATCAACCTTAATTATTACATAATAATACAACTTTCAATATGATATGCACATAACTTAACTCATGTTTGAGCCTAGAAACCCCACTTTTCTTTACATTTACAAGGGTCATTATACTGGCTGGTGCCGGCTACCTGGAGAGATGATGTGGGTGCCCCCTTTCCTGCCTCCTGCCACGTTTACAGTATGTGGCAGATATCAGCATTGCATACGATTCTGTCCACCCCTTAAGATGCATACCCAAAATTGTTTGAAGGTGGATGACTAGATTCCTTTCTGGTTTGAGCGAAGGGCTTGTTGCGGATAATGAGGCTGATGAGTTTGTTTGTATTAACAAGTTCTTAAGCAATGATATAATTTGTGACCTTTTTGCTTCAGAATCGCTACAAGTCAACTTTTACCTTACCATCTTGGCTTCAGTCATATGATAGTATATCTTATATCAATCACCTTCTGCTGCTCATCAGGTTTAGAATTAGAGCCAACTATGGGTTTGGCATCTGTTAAATACTGCCAGTGAAGGTATGCAACTTTGCATATTTGATTTGAGAAGAGGACAACAAGAAGGCCAGGAACTCGACAAGATTTTATTTTTCTTTCCTGCTGATTTGCCCTTTGCAACCCAGCTTTCTGTTATAGGACTCAGTGAAGGGCTCATAACTTTTACAAGGTTAGTAGCTATAAGGTTCAAAGGTATTATGAAGTGGATGCTAACAATGTGGCAAAGAGCGGAAGGGAGAGTTATTTGGTTCTGTTGGAAGCTGGATGATTCCCAGCATTTCCTTTTACCTGTTGTGGTTAGTAATCTATGAATAAAAATATTTTAATAGGTTCTCTTTGCTTTAAAGAATGCTAAAAGCTTTATAATTAAATTCCAAATGATAGTGTTGTTAGGCACCTACATTCTTCAATATAGTATTCATGAATAAATGGAACATGATTGAAGTTCTGAATAAGACTAAATACTCCTTGTACACACAAAGTTTTAGTTCGTTCTTTCCAGTCGTACCTACTTTACCATTTAAAGAACCAATAGACCATACTGTTAGTCATAACATGACACAAATATCTAATTACTTATTCACAATGACCTGATTGATATGATTATTTGTTATGTTATTTTTGTGGGTTTTTTTTTTTTCAAACATGATGAACTTTATGCAGGATTTTCTCTCCGGATGCAGCTTGTGAAGTGATAGAAGCAGAGAGGCACTCCCATGTCTTTTATGAAGCAGAATCAGACATCTGGATGGTCATGGTATCTCTCTTATAGTGAACCCATGGGTTTTCCTAGAGAGGACAGCTGATACAACATAGATTACTTTCTTTCCATAGTTTCTAAACTTGACATGGTTTCTTGTCTTTGATTTTGGAGAGGAATGATTTGTCTGCAACCCCATTTCACGAGGCTTTCTACTTTCTGTTATTAATGTTTCAATATCCTAGAAATCCATTGTAAAATATAAACAAAACATGGATATCTGCTTTGGCTCTTGTCTTGGGATCTTAACTGGTTTGAGTTGGTTGCCACGTGCAACATCTGAGTCTTATTTTCATTATGTTTAATCAGTTTAGTGTTCCTTCCTGCGTGTTTATGGAAGTGGATTTTTGTTCTGACTCCTGATCATAAAGAACACTGAACCTGTCCTAATATTGTGTTTCTCCTCCAAGTCGAGCATCAGCAAATGTCTTGTATTCTTGAATCTACATGAAGTTTTCTCTTCATGTAGAAAGCTTTCTTTGTACCGGTTGTCCTAGTTCAAACTGCAAAATGTGTCTCCTACTCTAGTTTCTCCAATGTACCTTAAAAAATTCTTAGTGTACTTGTCTATCATATTAGGTGAACATGGTTTGATTACTCTCTTTATTAAATTCTGTGTGATTGTTCATCCTGGTAGTATTTGACCTTGGTGTAGGTAGTGGACAAAAGTAAGGAATCAAAAGCAGCATGTCAGGTTGATGCATTACGAAAGGTTCTCAAAGAAGTTCACTCTCTTTTTGTATTGTTCCATGGAACAATGAGATCGATGCTTGAGAAGGAAACTAGTGGAGGCTTAATCCGATCTCATTTATATCCTTTCATCACGGATTATCTTAGTGGTAAGCCTTTATTTTATTGCAGCATACCAAAAGCAGTCTCTATTGTGTAACTGCTGCTGGGGTAATTCTCAAGATGCTGTATCAAAATTTGCTTCATCAGTTTTGATCTGCCAAACAATTGCTGAAGTTGCGGTGACTTGAACCTTACCTGTAACTTTTGGGCAGATTTTCTTACTGGGAGGAAGCTCCAATTACCATCATTTCATGACTGTTTGATGGAGCGTGGAACTGTTCAAATGCTTACTGTTGGAAGGGAAGCTGCGATTGAAGTCCAGGTTCGACTTCTGAAAATCTTCTGAGGTGCTCTGATATAACTCAAATACCAAAACCAGATCAGATGGAACCCATAGATTTGCTAACTAAACTTCTATATATGGTTTGGGTTTACTGGACAGGTCTCATTTCCTTATGACCTCTCTTCCCCTTCTCCATGCGTCTTTATCAGATGGGTGCGTGCTTATTTGCGATAGCAGATCTTTTCAATGAAAAATAATTCACTGGAAACTGACAACTTGAATTCAACACCAACTTCATCAATATATACAGAACTCTTATTTCCCAGTCCCGTCATTCTTGGCTTCTCCATGTTGACCACTAACCCTCATCCACAAATATAGTAAGACTACTTAACAGACTCCTCGTACTTGGAGTAGCTCGTGATTGCTCACGTGATTCACTTATCTAACATTCCTGTGATCTCTCTTCCCATTGTGTTTGTCTTGTTTTGCAACTTCAGGAAGTTTGGTTTTATATGTTTGAAATTTCGATGCATACTGTGTCTGCTGCATGCACTCATAATTGGGTGGATTAATGATGATCACTTGTTGTAATTGCAGTCGCTTGTCAAGGTACTAGAATGTTCTGCTGGGACTACTTCCTGCTACTCTCTGGTTTTGTTCCAGGACCTCCTTGTGTCAACCACACTTTCTCCCGTATGGTTCAACTTCTACAGCTTATTTAATCTGGATGTCCTGTAGTATTTTTGTCTAATTATATGTATTTTAATTTACTCTCACAAGCAAAATAGTACCCAGCATGAGATATAAAATGTATAAGGAGGCTATGAACATGGTGCATCTGTCAGAATGACTGCTAATTCTATTATTGAACCTTTGGTTTTCAGGATGACACCATAAGTTTGTTTACTTATGCTGTTCTAAGGTTGACTCCCCATGCTTTGTCATCCGGAGCAACTTCCTGGTCTTATTTACAAAGAACTAATGCAGGATCTCAAGTTCCCGCGTTGTCTACTATTACGAACTCTGGGTCTGTTTCAGATAACATATATCGCTCACGTGATGCTTCACTGGACCAAGAAAACAACTGCCAAGTAAAAAGACCATTACATCATAATAGATGGTTTAGGGGGAACGACGGTTTTCTTGCGTCTGATATTTGGGGAACTGACAATGGTAGTCAAACTTCTGTCACCCCAATAGTTTACCTCCAGCTGACTGAAGAAAGGATGTATCTATGTGCCTATCAACATAAAAGCCTGACCATAATCCTTCTGGTTCCTGTTTCCTCCATTCTTAACGGAGAGCAAGGACTTTCACTCGTGAAGCAGCAAGTCTTGGAAAATGTGTGTGTTCTTTCTGTTTCCGTAAATATACTGTTCTCTTCATTTTACTTTTCCACTTTCATTCACTTCATATGATTTTAATTTATTTTCTCTTTTCTCACTTTCCTGGAAATACCAAACTTAGTTCTGCTCTTGAAAACTTCTGCATCCTCTACATTGGGGCCTATCGTGCACATTTGTAAATTGTTCTGGTAATAGTATGTCATAAGACTCATCCACGCCTGCTGGTGTTATGTTGTTTAGGTTTGGTTATTTTGTAAATACCTGACTGATTATTAGCTTGAAGCCTTCAAGTATCCCTGCCTTAGGTTCATACCTTGGGGCAAGGAAGAGAAATAGCTTCGAGGCTTCTACAATGTTCTGTATTGCATTTTTGTATTCCGTGTCATGCACCTTCATTACCGATAGTGGAAAAAGGATGAAGATGCTGCATGTTTTGCTATATTTTGTATTTTTGCTTCATTTTCAGATGCAGATGAGTAGGACAAACCCTAATGCTGCTTTATGAACCTTAGCTTTTGGTGAATGCTGCCATCAGTACCCTTTCGCTTTCAGTATTCTGATTTCTTAAACAAATATTTGCTATATTCTCACTTTTAGGCTTCTAGCCGTCTTTTTACGCAGCCGCAATTTTATATGTAAGTAATTTTGTTGTCTGGGTCTGACTCATTCTCTTTCTTTTTGAATGCACTAGGCTTCACTCAAAATGTTGATGGTCGAGGAGAAACTATCAAAGGGATGGGGTGGAGAAAATGCTTATCATGTTAGTGGCTATCGTTACTTACTGGTTGATGATGAAAGAGTATCCCGGGCTTCTCCTCCAGCAAAGGTCATGACCCTAGCTAAGGTAAGAACTACCAGCGTTCGGATGTCTGGTATGTAGTTTCTCATTGATGTTTGGCAGGCATTTTCACTAGAGGTCTGATTTGGTATTGTGTTAGGTTATGCACATTTTCATTATGACACTGGACACTTGGGATCCTGTCAATGGAATGAACTGTTTTGGTGTGCTGGTTATTGTAAGGGATGGTCACCTGTCAATGTTGTATCCGTCTGGTGTGATGGCAAATTGTCGTACTAAATCATTGAAATGTTTTTGTTTTCCTATATATATATATATATATATGGCAAAGGCTAGAGTACGCTTGGCGTGCACTATGCGAATCTGCTTCTAGTATCTACACTGTAGTAACTTCCTGCCTCGTTAACAGGAATCTTTACTTGCCCTGAGCAAGCTGAGAGAAGAGGTGAATTTGGAGAAGAAGAGAGCAAAATGCAGCAACAGTGAGGTAAATTGTGATAAAGAATTGGAAATATGTGTAAGAGCAAAAAATGGTGCCTGGGTTATAGCACGGACATCAAGAGGGAAGGAGCTCTATATGGTTCTAGAAAAAGCCAGCGAAACGCTTCTGTATGCCGCTGATTCCGTGGAGAAGTTCAGCAACAGGTTCGCGTTTGATGCATTACATATCTTGTACATTGAAGCCATTATTAGTTCCCCTCGATATTTTGTTCTCTACCACTGACCCGATCTTCTGAAACTGAATAGGAAGCTAAAAGCTCTACACTTTCCACTCTGGGATTGATTCGCTTTGTTGTTCCATTCATCGCAGGTACTGCAGTGGGGTATTTTCTTTAGATTAATGGAGTCTGCTGCAGTTTCTGCCATTCCGAATCTAATTGAGGATATACTATCGAGACCTGGAATGTTTTGTCCTTCAGTCCTGTTTGTGTGTAATCAACCTGGGATAGACCAGCAGTCTAAGTCCGAGGAAATCAGTTCAGTTAGGGTTCCTTTTTTCTTTTCCGGATAAGCAACAAATCCAAATAAATCAATACATACCACTTGAGCTATGTTTCTGAACAAGCTCTAATTTCTTAGTCTTCCCCAGCCATGTAGTGTGTGTTCATTGGTGTATATGTAAATACTAAATAGTCAAGTTGTGTTGTTCAATTGTGGGGTATTTTCGAATGCTTTGGGTGTATGGTATCTGTGACAAATCGAACACTTGATTTCGTGGAATCGATGTTTAAAAGCGCGAATTAGTTTGGCAAATTGAATAAGAATGGTTTCTTATTTATCACAAGAAAACAATCATAAAAGAGAAATGGAGGAAGAAGATAGTCAATTTTCCTTTCATGTGACTGCATGTTAGTGCATCCTAAATTTCATTCATCATTAAACAAAATTTAGAAACTACCAAATTGTAATAGTAGAAAAATGTGGTGTCTATATAAATTAGAAATTTGATGAAATCATAGAGCTTTAAGGTCTGACGTGTTAACTAGGGTTGGAACTTCAGTTAAAGTATTTTCGAAAAAAATTGTAAATTACATCATATAAATTGCTTACATTACAATCTAAATTCTTTATACCAGGATTCGGGAGATTTTTCCAGAAATAGCACTGTTTAAATTTTTTTTTCCAAAAATAGCACCCAACTCCGAAAAATTCCAAAAATAGCACCATTTTTTTAAATTCGCAACCCGGAGGTGCGTTTTTCGATGAAAACGCCACCCGAGGGCGCGTTTTTTGATGAAAACCGCACTGGTAGGGAGCGATTTTGCAAACCGCACCCCCAGGGTGCGATCTGCCTTTTTTTTTTTTTTTTTTTGAAAAATCCTAATTTAGGTGGAAACTTCAAACGAACGTATCTTTATGTTCGGGTATCCGATCGTCGCGATTTTTTTTTTGATTCCGCATAACTTTTTGAGATCTTGCAAGCCGAAGACTGCCAATGGTGGTTTGGTCTCGCCTTCGTACCAAAAAATGTCGTTTGCTACCCCGAACGAGCTTTTTTCCGATTTCGTCAAACTTTGGACAACCGTAACTTTGTGCTCCAAATCCAAACGGCATGATTTTTTTTTATTTCGCATAACTTTTTAAGGACTATAATTTTTACTAAGAATGTGTTTTCAAAACATGAATTATTTTTGGATATACAGGATTTTGGGAATAGCTTATCTTCCCTTCTCAGCAATCCACATACATTTTGAAATTATGTATATGATAAAAGTTGTATTCCTTAAAAATTTATGTGAAATAAAAAAAAAATTCATGCCGTTTGGATTTTGGAGCACAAAGTTATGGTTGTCCAAAGTTTGACGAAATCAGGAAAAAGTTCGTTCAGGGTAGCAAACGACATTTTTTGGGACGAAGGCGAGACCAAACCACCTTTGGCAGTCTTCGGCTTGCAAGATCTCAAAAAGTTATGCGGAATCAAAAAAAAAAATCGCGACGATCGGATACCCGAACATAAAGATACGTTCGTTTGAAGTTTCCACCTAAATTAGGATTTTTCAAAAAAAAAAAAAAAGGCAGATCGCACCCTGGGGGTGCGGTTTGCAAAAAAAAAAAAAAGACAGATCGCACCCTGGGGGTGCGGTTTGCAAAACCGCTCCCTACCAGTGCGGTTTTCATCGAAAAACGCGCCCTCGGGTGACGTTTTCATCGAAAAACGCACCTCCGGGTTGCGGTCTTACAAAAATGGTGCTATTTTTGGAATTTTTCGGAGTTGTGTGCTATTTTTGGAAAAAAAAATTTAAACAATGCTATTTCTGGAAAAATCTCAGGATTCGGTTTGGTTTTACGTGGGGAGGCTAAAACTTCTTCTCAAGCCAATTTTTAACAAGAAAAAACCAATCACAGACCCAACTTGTCATTGAGTCCCAGGCCCAACCAACTCCATCATGTGGCCTCAGGGCTCAGGCCACTACCCAACCATTTGGATAAGAGGCTTCTTTTTGTGTGGGTGGACCAAAAACCAACATCCAAGAAGTTTGGATTTCTGTCTGTGGGTTTTTAGCAAATTTCTTTTTTTTTCTATTAATGTGAGTTTTTAATAAAAACAGTCATATCCAATTAGGGGTGATAATCGATCGATGGTTGTTGATCTAAGCTCGCGAGCTGACTTGTTTAGAACTTGTGGAATGATTAATTACTCTTCTGGACATGAACATTATCTTGTTAATATGGACGTGAATGAAAGTTAGCTGTTATTTATAGTTTCTAGTTTTCTTTTTATCATTTAAACTCTTACGTGTACACATTTTTCAGCAAGAATGATTTCAAATCGAGCTCATTTTGAGCCAAGCTTGAACTCAGCTTGACAAGTCATGTTAATGAGCATTATCGAGCTCTATCGAGTCGAGCTCGAGTTGGATTAATTTAATTGAGCCAAGCTCGATCTTAAGGTGGATTATCATGATTCAAGTTCGACCAAGGTCGAGCTGAAAAATTTATAAATGAGCCGACCTCAAGCTAAGCAAAAACTCGACTAGACTCGCCTCATTTGTAGCCCTCGACGTCATATAAGAAATCCTATCAGAGTGGATCAGGAAACCCATACAGGAACTAGAAGTGACTATGCCCGCCTCTGCGTCCAGGTTGACTTGACAAAGAAATGGATGATTTCAAAATTAAAGCCACATAATATGCAGAGAGAGCCATTAGCTGCCTCTAGTGGATTGGTACGACCAATGCAACTAAGGTCAAAATGGCAATGGAAGCTACGTCCGGCTCTCGGTTTCAAGTGTTACCCATGGAGGAAGTCTTGGGGGCTTGATTCGGGCGTAAATGTACACTTTTTATCCCCGTTTCTCTTTGGCATTTGTGGCCTTTGAGCTCCTAAAAGGATGATTTTACGCTAGGTTTCTTGTGTTTCAGAGTCTACAGGTGAAACCAATCCCGGAGTCGAAAGTTGGAAGAAAAGGCGCAAAGACCGGGCAAAGAGGAGGATCCAGCCGCAGTTCACGGTTAGAGCTTGAAGTTCATGGTTGCCAGCACCGTGAACTGGAACCACAAACCATGTAGCGCAGAGCGTCTAGAGGTATTTCAGAGGTTACTGACGCCGAGGCAGTTCACGGTCGTAACACCGTGAACTGGAGCCATGGACCTTGAACTCCATAAGTAAAGCGACGCGTTTTGATCCGTGTTCACAGTCTCGGCCTAATGTTCAGGGCCGTGAACTGGGACCGTGAACTGGGCGCGATCTGTGTATAAATTAAGAGCTAAAAAGAAGAAGAGGGGAGAGCCCAAAGTGAGAGAAACCTTCTTCTTCTTGAAACCCTAGAGAGAGAAAACACAAACCAAGAGGGAGAAGAGGCTAAGGTTTTGCTCCAAGTGAAGATTTTGGAAGTTCCTCTTCAAGAGAGGATCTCTACAAGCACAATGAGAGTTGGAGGCATCACAATGATGGTTTCTTTCTTCTTCCTTTGTGTTCTTCCTTTGTCTAGCATGGAGTAATTTCCCTTTTCACTTGGGTGTTGTAGAGCCCTAACTTTTACCATGTAATTGATTGTGTGGATTGAATGATTGTTTGATGGTGGTGTTTAATTTAAGAATTGAGGTATTTTTCATTGTGATTGTGCATGCTTGGCAATCTATTGTGATATTCTAACCTAGCTTAGAGAGAAGCCCCCTTATATTACGAGGCTCAAATTGAGCTAAGTTTTCTTAGGCATTCCATGCCTCCTAACTAGGTTAATGAATGACAAACCTCTAAACTCGAATTAGACACCTTGGTTAATTGTGATTATGCTGTCCAAACCTTGGTCTGAGGGAGAAGGTAAGTCAACCCTCAATTGCTTAGGCCAAGAGGGCTACAATTGTAGCCTATAATGCTTTCCTTGGCCTAGAAATCGAGAGGATGGTTTCTAACCATTGTTGCACCTCCTACGGGTCACAATTTCCTTGTCACGCACCATTCATTTGATCCCACGGTTCATGGTAGTTAGTTAGGGGGAAGCAACTCCCGAGTGAAGCTTCTCACCAAGAGTTTTCCACCCTTTTACTTTTCAAGTCTTGCATTTAAATAGTAGATTGTAGAGACTTTAAAAAACAACATTCCGCTAGATAATATTTCAAACAACTGAAGTTGGGGTACATGGGCCGACCCGGGTCGATATTTAAACATACTTTCCCTATATTGCGCCCATTTAAGGTTTATACTTGGCCTTAGGTAGGATTTTATTGTGATATTTGGTTTGGATCAGGGCTACTATACGAGTTACTAACGCATCGATGGAGAGATCCAACCAAGAGTAAACCCCACCAGGCCTGACAACACATGTCAAAGACGGTTGGACAAGGACAAGCTTAAGCAGCCATAAACCATAGCGAGGAATGCTAATGTGAAGCAACCCGTTATGGAGAAATTGGTTCTGTAGGGCACTGCGATAGAGATTTGATAGAGGAATAACGAATAACGAGTGGACTACCTTATTACCTGACTCCCTGACTCGATAGTGAGCCATCTTTCCCACATCAAGTCCGACCACTGTTCGTTTATTGTTTCTATCCTTGCGCAACCCAATCGGTGGGACCAAAGCCCTTCCGCTTCCTTGATGCTTGGCTAACACATGAAGATTTTCACCCACTGACAACTAGTGCATGGGCCAAAGGAGCCGCATTCAAGGACATGGCAGAGGCATTTGCTAGAGATGTTGAAAACTAGAATCGTTCAATTTTGGGCATATTCACAGAAAGAAAAGACCACTTATTGAGAAAGCTAGAGAGATTGGAGAATATGGGTAGGGATCTAATTGATAGTTAGGAGTTAACTCAAGTGCGGGAGGAACTCGAACTAGTACTCCTTGCTGAAAGAAGTGACATGGTGCCCCTAAAATGTCTCCTAGAATGGATTGCCTCCAGGGATCAAATAAAAAATTCTTCTATTCACGTACCCTCCATTGACGCAATATGACCCGGAGCAATCCGACGCCTTTAACACCACTAGACGAGAACTTCAACTAGAATCTCCGACTATTGGCTCGTGAAGGGAGTTGAGATGGCAGGGAAACAACATCGAGGTGCTAAATCCGCTCCAAAAACTAAATGAGGAAAGCGGGAGGGCGAGGAATAAATCGAGAACTATGGGATATTACATGCCCCACGGGCGGGCGGAGATCCAATCTTCCATTCTACATCCATCCGTGGTCGCCAACAACTTTGAAATCAATCCTCTCATCGTCACGATGATTGAAAAACAACGCCTTGTTCCACGGGCTTGCCAATGAATCACCGCGAGAGCATGTTCAAAGGTTTCTTGAGCTTGCGGGAAGCCTGAAGATAAATGGGGTCCCCGAGGAGGC